GAAGTGCTGGGGAGACTGGGAAAAGGAGGTGGGAGAGGGGAAGAGAGAGGGTGGGAGAGGGGAGGGGGAAACCTGGGGAGAGAGCTGAAAGGGGGAAGCAAGGGGAGGAAGGGGGAGGGGAAGTCAGGATTGGGGGTCTCGCCGGACCAACCTGACTTTCATGCTAACCTGCTCCTGGGTTCACATCTGGCCTTTGGTGGCCAGGCTGGCAGCTATCCTGCCGTAGACGGCTGCTTTCCTGTGCCTAGTGTGGAGATTGTGGACATTAGAGGCCTTCCCCCAAACCTTTATGAGGTCCATGATCTCCGCACTACACCAGGTGGGCGCCTGCCTCTTATGGCCCCGGGCAGGCTCCTGTGAGCTTCCAGCCTGGTCCTGAGAAGAAGTGGAGGGATGGGTGGCAGCGGGTGGCTGGCTCATGCTGTGCCAGGTGCAGGGTCTGCTGGCTGGGGGCCGGGAGGGCTGATGCCCCTTTAAGGGCTCTGGGGCTGGGAGGGGAGCAGAAGAGTTTCCCTGGTTTGTCCCAGAGTGGCCACCAGGGCAACCTGGGAAGGGCTAGCCTCCAACTAGTTTGAATTAAGAGGCTACACAGCCCTTAATTCGAACTAGGCGTTACTCCTCGTAGAATGAGGTTTACCTAGTTTGAATTAAGCGCTCCGCTAGTTCGATTTAAATTCAAACTAGCGGTTTGTATGTGTAGCCCATATTAAAGTTAATTCGAACTAATGGCTGCTAGTTCGAATTAACTTTGTAATGTAGACATACCCTTACATCCCTAGCTCACACATTTTAGTTACCACAAGGGAAACAAAACACAACTTTTTAACAGGAAAGACCTCCCCTATCTCCAGATATAACAAAGTGCAGACATGCATCTCATGTGAACAGAAATCACCTCGCTTCTTTTTTCCTCCTCCTGAAGGTAAGCACTACCAACAATTCAGTATGCCTGTCTTCACACAACTCAGCTGAGTCCTAAAGTCTATTCCATAGCCCCTTATGGCCTTGTCTACTTTATCTTTCCTTTAATTTTCTCCATTATCTTTC